ATGTTTACCAACGTTTCAGAGGTCATACTGCCTCCGTCATCAGGGCGATTCATCGCAGTGCAACAACCCAGAAGACAGAAAGCTTCATACTCACCGCTGTGAAAACCTCAAATCTGACATAATTAATTTCGATATTAAAAACAGTAGAAAGGTTTACTTTAATTTAGGGCATGAGTGTTTAAAAAAATACATTCTGTGCGATTTAAAATATCTCATTTGCCTTGAGGTTCATTTAGACCCTATTTCTGTTACAAATCTCTTAACAGGGCTGTCTGTGTACACTTATTCTTTGTGTCATTGAATCTAAAATCTAGAGTTAATTTGTTCGTAGTTACCTCCGTGAAATAGGCTGAACTCAATTCATTTGATGACCACCCTGACATGTTTCTATGTTCATACGAAGCAGGCATGACTGTCTTACAATTTAAGTCTATAATCCAACATCTGTCGGTATCAACGAGAAACCTTCCACCAATGAAAAGTTTGCGATGTTCTAATTTTGTACCTGTAAGTGTGACAAAATATAGAACGACATCTAGAACTTTAATATATTCGAGACTCTTCAGTATTAATGCTTTGTGTCCCCCACGAGAAGGAACGACATCGTTTCCCGAACACCGTCACACACCGATTGTGTCCGGCACCAGGGGGCAGTACCCAAAAATTGCCCATGTCTCTGCACCTGCTCTCATCTTCCGCTACAACCAACACAGGCCGTGCTTCCGTAGTCAGGCTGTATTTTAATTGCCATCAAGATACTGCGTCTGTTTTATTGTAGTTTTAGTTCAGCTCTTAAGTTCTGATGATTGGCTCTCTGTGAGACATGTAGCCCGCATGTGAGAAATAAATTCATGTACATCTGTAGTCGGAACACCACTTTGAGGACCATGGCGGGGACAGAAAGATAATATTAAAAATGATCTAAAATAAATAAGATATGAGGGCGTGTACTGGATCAGAGTAGGAGCGTCCAATGGCTGGCTCTTTGGAACGCAGTAATGGACCTTTCTGTTCCAAAAATTTGTTGCTACACTTCCTTGAATTGATCACCGTAGTAATAATTGGTTAAGAGTATTAACTGCCTCCGTCATCAGGGCGATGACGCAAATAATATTACAAACAAAAGTATAATAATAATAATATCTTATCACTATAATGACAATTAGCGACTTGAAAGTAAGACGAGTAACCTTAACGTATGTTTCAATGAAAATCTTTGTATGTTAAACAGATTCGTATGTTACGACACGTAATGTTTTGTGCGATTAATCCTTTTAAGAAATTGGATTAAATCTGAATAGAGAGTACGAAAAGCCTTTGGAGCCCACCAGTAAAATCTTAATTTTTGAACAGCTGAGTGCTGTCGTCCACCGTTGAAATGGATAGTTTAACAGAAACTTCATTTAATACACAAGACACTGTATCAACTGGCTTTGCAGTTAGTTGTTGAGTTACTAAGAGAAATATTAATGAGATTATTATTAATACATGATAATGACAATTCACTTTTATGATACAATACATGTTGAACCCTGAAGGGGGTGTGAATGAAGCTTCTATGCATTCCAATTGTTTCCTTTGTGAAACAATTTTATTGTTAATGATCTAAATGCATGGAGCAGTCGTTATTCAGAACATAATTATATTATACGCCCAACTAGTCAATAAATTCCACTTCTTTTATGGAACTCGAAGATTCATTACCATGTTAATAATAGCCTGAAACTGGACGCTATCTTGAGCCAGATGAATGAAATCCAAATCCTGACCCTAGTTAAGATCCATTTTAATATTATCCTCGAACTACGCGTATCTGTGACTGCAAAGTGTCATGTACTGCAAATAATATATTCAATAAAACACAAAGGGATATTATTATTTTAATATTGTTACTGCGGTGTGGGGTGTAATGAAGACTCAGTTTAACGCTTCGGAGCACGAAACCCAAATAAATAATATTTAGAAATTCAGTTACTTTTTCAAAACACATCACGTCTCCGTTACAAAGGTCAGTTTGTAAATTCTGTTAAATTAGGTGGCAAATATTAGTTATTACTGTGATTTAAAGGGACACAACTTAAGAACATCACATTCGGCTGATTTTTAAATTTATGTTAAATAATTCATGACCATTAATGTATTTTGCTACTTTTATGTGAAAGAAATGTAAATTTTGTTATAATTTACTCCACTTCTAATCTGGCACTGCTATCTGAACACAGTGAACTGCATAAAAATAATAATTGAGTAAAAGTTTTAGAGCTCTCCACTTTAAAATTTACACTGGAAAATAATTCATTGGTGCATTCAAGGTGTTCGTTTTGATATAAAGGATGCTTCTAGTCTTCCAATTGAAACAGACGTACAAATCTTGAGGCTTTCGAGGCGACTGAATGCAATAAAATCTCCAAAGGCGAGAAGCCGCGCCAAAATGGAATCGTTCAGTTTTAGTGAAACGGAGGTAGGCGTTTGAACAGATTAAGAAGACACCGCGTAATAAACTGATGGTGACTGAAATTCTTTAATCCAATGAAAGTTACTTCAAAGCTGGATAGTGTGTCTGAGGAACGTAATAGAAGTTGAAGTTTCTAATCGCAGCCCTTCCGGTGAACAAATACTGGCGGTGCATGCCAATAATAACCATATCTTACGGGTATCCTATCTTATAATGAAAATGTGTAGCCTCTGTATTGCATGAATATATCGCGAGTCTCGACAAGCAGTGTGAAGACGTTTCTCTGAAGACAACTAACTGTCTGTAACAAGAGCTGTTGTGTTGCGTGTTTAATAAACGTTCTGAAGACGAAATACGTCGTATATTAGAAATTTGTATTTAATGGAAAACATCACTTTAAAATGATAGTTTCACATATAACCAAAAATCTGCTTTCGCACGAACCCGTTGCTTTTTCAGTACTCCTGTTTCGTTTTTCCGTTTTCGGGAGTTCACGCATTGAAATCTCGCATCTACATAGTTTAAACGTTTTCTCCTAGGTTCGCTCCCATTTAAATACACAGTTTGCGAGAGCAAACAAACACATCCACCCGCAAACATGAAACTGGCCTCTGTGTATCGCAAAGAAGTATATGAGATTAACGTTTTTTATTAAATATAAATATTGTGTCATTTTGTAAACATTTATGGAATTGTTACAGAGCTCTAAATATGACCAGGCAGGCGATTTAACAGCGTACCCAAATGCGAGACATGTCCTATAGTATCAATTTACAATTAATATTTTAGTAAAAAGAGTACAGGATTTGTTTAAAGAATGTTTTTTTGGTATCTTTTTGCAAATCGTTGTAACGTATTGGTGTTTTAATAACATGTATTTAGACACATTATAACAATTTGAATTTTATGCAAGTACTTAAGTTAACAACGGATAAGATGGCACTAAAATATTGGTGTAAATACAATAGAATTAAATTAATATTCGTTGTCTTCTGCGAACAAGTTCAATTAAAAACAATGACACTGATAAAATGAGCAATTCTTGCATATTGCATTTATCTAAGCAACTTGTATTATGTTCTGTGTTACCTAGCAGTGTGCAGACACAAGGCTACTTTATCAACTAAAAATCTGAAAACTATTTTGCTAGTTAACTCAACATTTGATAGAAGTATTTTTGCTGTCAAGTTGATAGTGGCAGTAGGTTTCTTGTACTAGTGTATCACCGAACTGTTTTAATTTGCGGAGTTACTCAAACCAGTAAAAGTAGTGGTAAGTTTGTCCACAGATATTGTACTGGATGTTATAGCAATGTGTGTTCTTTTAAGTTATTTGATGTCGTAAAATTACGACAGTGCAAGAAATCAGTCACGGGTTGAAAAAAATAGAACTTTACAAAAACAGAAGTTTGATTTAATAATCTATTTAATAAAATAGCATGTAACACAATTCAGAAGAGAAGTTATTAAATTTACTTCTTTAACTGTCGATCAGGACTATAAACCAAGCATTTTTCTACGACCTCTTCCATAATTTAAGGGAAGCAATTTTGAACACTTTATAGTTTAAACAAATGACAATCACCTTTGACACTGGGTTACTTGATGAAAAATCCTTAATTACTTCACTTGTCTTGAGCAAGTGTTTTACTATGTAGAAAACTCAATAATTGCGATTAATGGTCTGCGTCTCTATACGTTTTACAAACCGATTTTTTTTTTCTTGGAGTATAAAATGTATCTTCCACGAAATTAAAGAAATAAAATTCCAAACACTCATGCAGCAGTTTAATGAAATTCTCAGCAACAGATGAGAGACTTATGATTAGCCTAACGAAACAATTTCATACGTAACGGAGCGAAAAGCGATGCATGGAACTTGGTTATTAACATCCACAGGCGGAGAACGTTGCTTAAAATTTATTACGCACTTCAAACTTTTCCTTTCGCTTGTATTTACATACAGATTTATTATATACTTAAGCGACTCTATTAGAACACAGGGAATATTTTGGGATGACTTTGCCCAGAATTTTAAATTCTTTTAAGACGTTTTTTAAACATTCGCAGGAGGTGACTTACAGTTTTATATATATGATAATGGATTGTGTAGTTAGAGGTAGCGCGAAGGGAAATTAATATATGAGGGATAGAGACCACAGGAAATCGGTATTAAGGGTGCAGAGCTAGGTTAAGTGGTCACAACTTAAACGAAAGAATATTTCTACTTGTAACAGAGAAGATATTTGTATTTTCTATCTGTTTTTACTTACCTCCGCCCCAACACAATTGACTTGTTTGATTGGAATTACTACATCAGTGGCGATCAAACATAACCTTATCACATTCATTGACAAGATGTTTACCGTGTGCGAATTCAGTTTAAAATCAAATTTTGGATTATGAATTTGAGCACATAACTATACATACATTATATATAATGCGTGTGCTAAAGGAGAGTTACGAAATACTAAATGTGTGGTACCACAGGGCTTTAAAGCGTTAAGTAAAACGTAATGTCACTGGAAGGCTGGAGGCGAACTTACGTGTAAGTCGCGGCGAAGGGGTTGACCGCTTCGGCGCAGTCCTCCTCCCCGCTAGCCGCCAGTTTGAAGTGTGTTTAGTCCGTCGGGTAAAAACGAAGACGAAGTAACCACAATCACCACTCCGCTTGATATCACCACAAGTCACTTATCCCGTGAACGTCAACTCACAAACTGACACTAACTCGTACAGCGTTAACAGAAAACAACGAAACAATATGGCGTTTTCTGAGATAATCACGAGTGTTATCAGACTCTCGCGTCTAATCGCGATTTACAGTAGAAAGAAATCCTTCCACTCAGAACCCAGGTTTCTTCCCAGTTCAGCCATTTGCATCACTACCAGGTGATAAATGTGCTTCGTGTGGTTATAATTTGTCTTAGTGACTTGACGCCAAAGTTATATTGTCTCTTATCCTGAAAATACAGGCCTGTGTCTTCCTGTTATCTGTTTCCCCGTAGACATATCACACAATGAGTAGCGTCGTGCTGTTTAATTATCGATATGTGAAATTACTAGGGCAAATTCGAACGCAAATAGTTTTTCTGCCACAATATGTTCTTATACTTTGAGTAATGAGCTTAAGTTTGCCTGAAAGCCCTAAACGAACGTATATTAGGCATATGTTACAACGTATTAACTTACGAAAAATCACAAGTGGAAAAGCTTATCTTCTCCCATGTAATGAATTTTTAGCTCGCAACTAATTGTAATTGTTGTTTCTGTAAGACACGTGATAAATAGTGGTTTGGGTCACTTTATCCTAATTCAAGTCACACGGTTATTTTTCAAAGGCACTTTAAGTAAGTTGTTTATGACTTACATATGTAAATAACATTGTGTAACGCGAATAAAAAATAAAGGCTTTGAAAAGCGCGCTATTCAAAATAACTGAAATGTCTGCCACAGTAACAACACGTCCATAAATCTCTGCATCCAAATTGTGCTGATTGCCAGTAGCATGTGCGTGGTTCCTTATAAATCAGTCTTTAATACAAATATATTGATGTATCTGTCATTCACTAACGCGGATCGAGTGTCTTTTGTTCAAGGGGCGGTAACTACAAGAGTAATTTGGTAATCACGTTTCTTGTTTAAAGTCCACCACGGTTGGCTCCCCGAGGGCAACATTCGCTAGTAAGTGCTGTGGTCCTCCTCTTCTTCTTCTGTCAGTAGGCCGACATCACCCATCTCAGCTGAGCAGGCAACCACGCACGCGCGCAAAAGCTTCCACACCTGTTGATAACCACCGTCATACTGCTCGGCTGGAAAGCTTCTATACGTGAAACACTTTCTAGTACTTGGCTCTCCCGCAAGCAAGCACTACTATCGCTCTCGAGCGCTGAGCTCGAAAGAACATTGTTTTTAACCTTTCAATCTGTAAGTTTAATTAAAGAAATTTAAGAAAATATACGCCTGTTGGAGACAGTGAATGATTTTAACACCAGCAGTTCCACCTATTGGAAATCTCTTTGTGTAATCCAGCCAGTAGAACACACAGGGCCATGTTTATTGTCATCAGTGGTGTATTGTCCATATGTGGAGACTACGCAAGGAACTGGGGTCCACGCTACAAGTGGCACGCGTTTGAAAAGTTCGGCTACTTTTGAAGCATCTGCCACTAAAACACCATGCTTTTTTTACTCATTCCATCACGTCTTTCTAGAAACTGGTGTTGGTGCATTGATGGACACAACGTCCATTAGGGGAATGCTGTAACCATGTATTCGGAGGGGATTGCCGTTTTAGACCACATAAGTACTGAATGAGAAACACGTGTTGATTACAGATCCAGCAATATTGGCTATAAAGATTTGTTTGCTAAATAGAGTTATTATATTCTTCAGTATTACATCTCGGGACACAGTTGTTTTAACAGTAAGGCCTAATTTCATATTAAGTTCGTTTAGGTCGTGTGTGACATAGTTACCGTAGTTGATACATTATCTTATAATAATGGAGAAACACGCAAATATACTTTGCCTTGTACTATGTACATTTACATGAAGTGTTTTCGACACCTGCAAACAAAGAACGAAAACTTGTCTTGCTTTTAGTATATAGTACGTGATATGAGGTGTAAAAATCCACACTGTAAAAATCCGTTATTTTATTTAATAATGTAATTGTCAATTTAGAAGTAATTAATTCAATTATTCTTATATAAAGGCCCTATAATTAATGATTACAAACTAATCATTTAGTACGAGAATTAAGTTAAAGAACGCTGATTTATTTACATAAACACACGTACCATAATTTTCATATAAACATTGTAGGGATAATGTAGAATGATTAATTATTAGTGGGCTCGGGATAAAATTATGGTTGTTATGACCTGTTTATGATTCTGTCTTTCGACTGAGAGACTTCAGAACGGATGGTTACCAGAATCGAATTTCCAAAATTTAAATTAGCAGTGTTTGCTGCTAAAATTGCAGATGTTTTTTCGTTAATGAGGGGAGATGAGATTGATTAGAAATGACGGCGATCTAACAAAAGGCATTTCTGATGTATCTGTCATTCATTTGATGAAACTGAAGAAGACCATGTAGTTTATCTTACTGATTCAGTAGCATGTGCTTGGTACAAGATTAAGTAATCCTTTATACCGTGTAGTTTTAAATGTAAACAATTATTTTACATAACAACGAATCTCATTACACTAGGTGTCATATTATATAGACATATGCGTTTCGGCCCTTATGAGGTCATCTTCAATGTAATTTTTACTGTTTTAACTTTTGGTTCCAGTGCATCTTTCCAGTTTCATAAGCATTAAAATTTTATTTGTTTTGTGTTTACCGGACTGCCCATTAATTTGTATGTTCATAAAACACACGCTGCACTGTGCGTTTTGAACTGTAAGTTAATTTCCGCCTTTCGCCTTCAAAAAGTAATGGTAAATAGAAACTATGACATTGGACGTAAGTCAGATGCGATCGCTGTATGGTTCAGCTAATGTCATTTTCTGGTTGTGAGCCGTCTTTCCATCGTTCCCTCCACGGTGCTGTGGTGATTTGGGTCCGGCGTTCCGCTACTCTATCACCACATCACCAGAGCAAAGAGTAGCAGAGAGTAAAAATAAGTTTACGCAAGCGAGAGAGTGAGTAAGAGAGACGAGATGAGAAGATATTCTCCCCCA